CCTCCCTCTAAAAGAGTGTGATTACAGAAACAGGCCGTCCTTCTGCCTGCATGCAGCCTTTTGAGAGCAGACACAGAAGGTAATGTCTGTGTTGGAAGAAAGCCAAGAGCCCAAAGACAACAACAACAAAACAAACAAACAAAATATGTAGGTTGCAATGTTCTTGCTCATCACAGAAGAAATGGACTAGATGCCATGTTTCAGCAAACAGGAAAGCGTTGAAGTCTCTGAGAGGGTTTATGTGAAGACGATGAGCGAAGCCGAAAACATCTTCATTATGTTCTTTTGCACTTTAAACCAGAAATAATAATAAAAACATATTTTTGCTGTCTGCAGTTAAATCAGACAAAACTTCTCTTGTTTAGGTTGGTTAGACTAAGAGAGAATAAGTCACATATCTATTATTAACATCTTCAAAATCAAAAGTTTACACAGGATGATTATCATCTGAGATGATGATGTCATGTAAAAAGTTATGTATGGTTAACTGGGTGGATTTTTAGGTCACTCCTGGAACAAACTGTTTTCTTGTTTGACACAACAAAGCAAATGAGTCAAGATATCGTTAGAGATTTGTAGAGCTGAACATCACAGACATGATGGGAACGTCCAGCCGTCAAACCGCTCAGGAAGGAGGCCCAGGTGATTCCAACTGACCAAAAACAAGACAAGTTTCGTCTGATTTACCTTCACATGTGAGACAAATAAAGTTTATACAGTGTATGTAAACTTCTGGCTTCAACTGTATGTTCTCACTGCAAAAAGACTAAATCTTACCAATAACTTTTTTGTCTTATTATACTTAAAATAAGACAAAACTCACTGAAAAGTAGCTTGTTTTAAGTGAATAACTCCTTCATATTGAACTAATGTCAGATCATTTCACCTAAAATGTGAAAAATCTCTTTTTATAAGTAAAATAATCTGGTTTCGTTTTGTCTTATTCCAAGATATTTGCACCATAAGCTAAACCAAAATATTCGGTAAGATTGAGTGTTTTTGCTTTTCTCATCCCTGCTTGCTGTCCTCATTTACCAAGTTTGAATAAATGTCTCAGGTTCTATTTTTAGAGCAGCTTGTTTGACTGAAACATACAGAGCATTCTCCATTGACATGTTTCTATCTAAAGTGTGTGTGTGGGCGTCATTTCCACTTAAAAGCCAGAGCCTGAATCGTAATGAAGTAAGAAGGCAAAACAAGCGTAGGGAACGGGGGAGAGGAGGGCGCCACGGCTGGGAGCAACGGGCGTACAAACAACCTCACAAAGCAGGAGTGATTCAGTTAAAGGGATTCTGTGCAGGAGCCAAAATTAGCCTCTCTGCTTTGTATTTCAACAAAAAGTGGATCAATCAAGGAGAGGAGGAGGAAAGTTAACGAGAGATATTGTCATGCGGGAGGCAAGCTGGAGAGATGGATGGACCTGACGGAAAGAGAAGAGGTCTAAGGATGCCAGCTGGAAGGATGATGAATCTCAGGACAGCATAATTAGATTAGAGGGCAGAAAATTACAAGTATTTCCTTTTGCATCCTTCTCCAGAAAACGGGATCCAATGATCCCGAAGCTTCTTGCTTTAGGAGTTTGATCAAGCTGTGACAAAAACACCCAAAAAGCATCCTGGAGAGGCAGAAATCTGTTTGCAACATGCATGTGCGTGGGTTTGTACATGAAGCCTGCAGAGAAATCTACAGCACAGACATAATTGGGGATGAATAACATGCAGCCTGGGCTGATGGTGGAATGATATCCACTGACAGATGGATTAAGCCCTGAATGTGGCTCGTGATTCTGTGCAAGTCATGTTGTAATCCGCTGACCTGCATTCATGCCTCCTGCTAAATAAATTTTAGCAGCATCAGGTGTGTGTGTAGTGGTGTGTGTGTGTGTGTGTGTGAGATCAGCAGGCCAGCTTGAGACAGGAGCATAAGCTCTGAGTAACACCACGCACGTGTTGCTGGGATTTTCAATCTTGGATTGACTAAAACAGCAGACGAGATGACTCAAACATGAATAAATTGATGCACCGACTCAAACAAACACACACACACACACACACACACACACACTCGTCAGAAATGTGGAGCAGCGGCTCACCCTGTGCATGTCCTCCTCAAACACAGCGTCATGGACGCTGCATGCGAACAGTGCGGTGGGAAGGTCGCTCAGGTCCATCATCTCGTCCGCCACGCCATCCTGGTCGCTCTCACCGAACACCATGTCCTCTTCCTCCTCCTCATCCTCCTCAGGATCACTGCTGTAAGCCTCCGACCCGTTGCTCCAGGCCTTAAAGTTCTCCCGCAGCATCCTGGATCTTTTCCTTTCTATTTGCTGCTGAAGCTAGAAAAAAAACAAGAGATTAAAATGTGTGAAAGTGAGAAGAAAGTGGTGAAAAAACCTGATTTGTTTGTCATTTTATCGGATTCAGTTGATTTTGCAGCAGGTTTTTAAACCAAAGTTTTACTTGTTCACTTATTCTGCTGCTTTGCTAATAGTGGGACTTTGATGCATTTGATTTAACTGCACGAGAGAAGAAATTTTTGATAATCTTAATGATAATAAAAAAAAATCTAAAGGCGGGTAAAAGTGTTCAATAATATTTGCAGGTGCATGTCAACAAATTAAAATGGCACAAAAAGTTTTTTTTTTAATTATTATTAATTTCCTTTATTTAACCAGTTAAATAAAGGAAATAAATTGAGGTCCTGATCTCATTTCCAAGAGGAAAATCTGCAACACACAACAACCTGGTGACGACAGAGAGGGAAAGTATGGATGACTGGAGAGGAAGATGAGCTGAAGGCTGCTGTGAAGCAACCTGATCAGCTCCATGCTACGCTGCCTGGATGCAGTAATTCAAGCAGAAGGAGCCCCAACCAAACACTAATGCCTTCACTTATTTGCATAGCTTTCAGTATGCAAATAATTTTTATATACAGAGACGCTGAACAGTACGGTTGTCATTAATAATCACCACAGAAAAGTGCTTGAAATACATTAAAAACAATTAACCTGTAAAACAAATTTCACTTTTTGAATTGAATTATGATTATTTTCTGAGATGCATCCGTTTGAAGCCGTAAAGCGCATGTGTTAAACTCAAGGCCCGGGGGCCAAATCTGGCCCGCTGTAGCTTTTTAAGTGGCCCTCTAGACTCCAAATAAGTCCTTACAGTTTTTGGCAAATCTGCAAAATTCACACAAAATCAACAAATCTCTACATTTTTTTCTGATTTAACTGCAAATTTTCTCAAAGTTGGTCAAAAACATTGAATTGAAGTGACTGCTGCCTCAGCCTTACTGGATGTCAAGTTACAGTCCGTAATTCATACGGCAAGTAATAAAATTCCTTACAAACATTTCTAAATTGGCACCACAAAATCTGTAATTTTGATTGCAAAAAAGCACTAAAACAATCACAAAATCTTGGAAGAACAGCTGTTTACTGATATTTTAACAGTTTAACTGGTTTTATCAACACATTCAGATTTTTGATGCGGCCCAAAATAAAAATGAGTTTGACTCTCCTTCCATAAAGGAAAAACGTTGGATGCTACTTGACCCCATTACTTTCATTAGAACAAAAATGTCAGCGTTGGCTTTAGAGTCGAGTGCCATCTAGTGGTATCGAGTGGTAAAATGTCTCAAAACAACGCTCATCAATATTTTAGGAACTACAACACATCTAACCGCGCCAGAAGGACGCGGTTTAAAATAACAAGAACGAATATCACTGCAACCTTTGAATTAAACCATTACTGTCCTAAAATACCTAAACTAGAGCCAGGAGTGCAGCGAGGAATCCTGCAAAACGAGTAACTCCTGCACGGCGGAGACAAGCGGAAATGAGGCTGACAGGTTGTTTGTCGGAAGCGTTTTGCTTTTTGTTAAAAGTGTCGCTTCAGCAGCTCAAAGTTTGCACTGATCCGCGTGAGGTTCCTGTTCTGGTCGCGTCAGATCCAAATGCTCCTGTCATCATCACCACTCACCGAACCGCTGTCAGTGAACGCGACCAGAACCCTCCATCACGAACGGAAGGAAACCAGAATCTTCCCGTCACTTTGCTGAGTCAATCGGATTGGTGATGCTGTTATTTTTGTGGATGCCGTCAGATGCGTGGGTGTTTGTTGTCCGTGGATTATCATTGGGGGCATGGTCACGGCGCAAACTCCTCCGGCGCTGCCTGGCGCAGGTGGAACCAATGAGACGCCGACGGCGGCCCGCAGCGACCAATCAGGCCGCCGCGAAGGGGAGGACGCTCCGCAGCAAGATTGGTGGAGGCCGTGGGGCAGAAAGTGGCTCTGCTGCAAACTGCTTTAAATACCCGGCAAGGACGTCTCAGTGAGTCACAGCAGTGAACTGTTAAATCTGTCCACTGTTCCTCCCGCTGAGTTAAGATGAGCTTAATGTGCTTAACTGTTTACAGACTGATCACACTTTGCAGGATCCACCTGTTCAGCTATCCACAGGGAAATTCATCATAAAATTGACATTTAAGATTTATGCATCTTGCAAGTCCACAAAACAAAATAAAACCAATAATTACAAAAAAAAAAAAAAAAATGCAAACAATCTTATTTACTTTAAGTGTTTTTCACAATAAAACTTCAATTTTGCTAATAAACCCTGCATACTTTTACATAAGCTTCTCAAATCTCACATCTGGAACTGTCCAGATCCCAAAGGTTTACATCCATTCTCCACAAATGCATTTTGTGTGAATAAAAATCAAGGATTTTATAAGCAATTTACTTTTTAAAATCAAGTCAACATTTACTAAGAGAAGCTGCACTGGCTTTCAAACTCACCAGATAAAAAAATCTTTTAGGACGTTTAGCTATGTTGGTGGAAATTATAAGGAACTAAATACAAAATGTGAAGAAGAGTAAACCCTAAATAAATAACTTTGCAAACACGCCACAAACGCCATTTAAAATATGCGTAGAAAAGTTTAAACTATGACAAAAATTACACTTTTCCCTTATTTGCTTAAATTACATACATTCCTTGAACAATATTCAAGCTTGATGTTTATTTAAACACCAACAGTTAACAGTCACCATCATCATGCACTTACCCTGAATTTATCCAGCAACAAACTTCATTTTAAAAATGTACATTAAAACCAGACAGAGTTCATAAATACATCACAGTAAATTAAACACAGTGGTCAAACTGGGAAACTGGTCCCAACAAGAAGAGGCAGTTTAAACTTCATTTAAACAGAATCAGAGGCAGTTTTTCAAAGTAAAGACAAACTGTACAGCTGCAACTTTACACTGTTTGGTCAAAACCCTGAAGTTTGATAAGTTTGCACTTTTACTGGAAGAACAGGTGATGTGCTGCGTAGCCCTTGGAATAAAAAGGTTCATGTATTTCACTGCTATCGAGTTTTTCAAAGATGACAAAACTCCAACATAAAAAAGTAATAAGTTACTTCATTCTGCTGCCAATCTTTGGTTCCTCTGAGATCAACAAATGTCTTCAAAACGCAGAATTCACAAGTTATTAAAATATGTACAAAGATAAGCCAGCTTTACCAGTTTGTGCTCATCCAGACTCTTCCTCATGTGCTTTCATAGAGACGGAAAAAATCCTCAATGCTACAAAAAAAGCTAATTATTTCCAGGGAAGAAGTGATCAAGCAGAAATTAGTTAAATCCCAAAGTTTGAGGCAGACTTTCTCCGTTTACAACTGTTGAACTTAACACAGTAATTAAAAAGCTTTTCCCTGACTAGCTTTGGTTTAAAACAGGAAGCATGTGTGAGAGTTTAAGGCGAGAAGGTTTGGTGAAAACACCCATTTGGGTTGATTTTTTAATGTGAGGCAGCGGATAAGTCTCAGTCTTTCTTCAGGTCGGACTGACCATGAGGCGGATCGGTGCCTCTCACGGTCACAGTCGGGTGCTCCAGGTTGACCGGTAGCGTGGTCGGCGCCACGCCGTCGTTGTTGACCAGAGCGCCGTATGAGAAAGAGCCGTTATAGTCCGGCTGAACAGCAAGGCCGTTGTCATGAATGGTCGGCACGCCTGAGCAGAAAGACGTGCAAATAAGAAGATAAAACGTATCCTGACTGTTACACAAATGTAGAGTTTAAAGTTTAGTTTTAATACAAACCGTTAGCCACATCCATGGTGACGTACGGCTCAAACATCTTCGCCTTCTTCCTGGATTTGGTGACGAGAAAGACGCCGAGGAAACAGAGTGCAGACCTGCTCAAAAATAAAACATAAAAATCTTCTTACTTTTATTCAAATGCTGATGGAGCTTGAACCTGAGCAGCTTCAGGCCTAGTCCATACACAGATGAATATCTGGGAAAATAAATGTATTTTTATGTGCTTTGGCTTTTCATCTACACAAAAAAATCAATAAAGTTTTATAAAGTTTTTATCAATAAAATCTTTATAAAAAAATCCAACCAAAGTGGAGATTTGAAAAAAATACTTCATATTTGTGTTTTTGTGTGTGTGCAGTAAAATTTAGGGTCTTGTGCATTAGAGGGTGCAACAAATAATGCAGCAATAAATCTGACATGATTTCCAATCATCGTCTTGTATTCTAATAACTTTATATTCTATTTAAAAGTAGATCAACCTATATGTCTGTCCACACAAATTAACATCCTGTTAACCTGTTTAACAAGGAAGTCATGGTTGTTTTAATGCAATCTGATTGCGTGACATAAGTTTCAGCTTTGTGCTACACTGCCCCCTATGGATTCGGCATGTTAAAACAACATTCAGCTGCATATTTGTGCATGATGTGTTTAGAAGATTAATTATTTCCTTATCTTTAAATCTGATGCCAAAGTATAACTTTACAAGATTCTCAAAATTCCTTGTTTTAATTTGTTATTTTTCATGTTGGAGTTGTTGTAAAATTGCTACTTTATTCTCCCAATATTATGACAATTTTTGGTAATATTACAACTTTATTGTCGCATTTATTCGACTTTATTGTTGTACGAATTTATTCTTGTACTGCGACTGTTTTATTGTAAAATTGCTACTTTATTCTCAGAATTAAAAAATTGCCAGACCTAGTATTCCATAATAAGGTTGACCTGAATTCAAAGTTCAAATAAATAGAAGCTATAAAATACCTTATTTAACTATGGAAACACTAAAAAATGCGTTGGTGAAATAATAAAAAAAAAAAAATCCAGATTCTTCAAAAACCAAAAACTCGATTAGTTGATGAAACCAATTTAACTCCCTACATTAATCAGTGAAAGACACTGAAGTTTGCAGTTGCCACTGGCAAACGTGAGCGGGTTTAAAGTGTCTGAATACTGAACGCTGCCACTCACCCAAGGAGAAACATGCAGATGTGAAGAACATCTTCCTTCTGAAACTCCAAGTAGAAAACGGCTCCTACAGATGAAAAGAGGAGAAGTTCTGAGACGTGTTGTGACTAAAAGGAGAGCAGCTGAAGCAGATTGTTGTTAGATTTTATTTCTAGACTCATGTTTACAGGCCCAAAGAAGCTGTGACTCACCAGCTACCACTGCAAAGATGGTGGAGAAGATGTAGTTGACACAGGCGGCCAGCGAGGGGTCATGCAGATTACAAGCCTGGGAAAGAAACCTGGGAAGAGAGCAGCAGGCCCAACAGCTTTCAAACCAACCACATAACCCTGGAGCAATATGCAATACATTAATAAATCAATTAATTGCAGCATGAATCAAAACAAGCTCGATAATTTACATTTTTCTGATTGTTTTTCTCATATCTCTCTATCAAAGAATAATTCAGTCTGGTGCGTCGATCTCAACTAGCCTCGTTTTTTTTAAGGGAAATTTTATTTACAGAGACTTCAGGATGTATTCACTGCAAAAAAACAAACTCCTGCCAAGTACTTTTGGCCTAAGTTTCTAGTGCAGACATCTTAGTATGCTGAACTGAGACAAAACTAACTAACAAGTAACTTTTCAGCACAATATAGGAGCTTTTTTTAAGTCTTAACATAAGCATTAGTGTTGATTAAAAAAGTTCTAGTTTCATTAAAAACATGGAAAAAATGTTTTGCTGTAAGAAAAAGAAATCTGCTGATGGAACTAGTACCTTTTAGCTTTTATATCTTGTTGAAAAGTTACTTATAAGTTAGTTTGATTTTATTCCAAGTGTAATAAGATTTTTAGAAAAGTAGACACAAACACTTAGTAAACTTTATTTTGTCTTTCGGTTGTTTTGTTTATTTTGGATATCTAAAATGTCTCCCAGTTGGTTATAAATTAAAGTTTGTTGATTTGCGATTATATTACTAGAAAATGGTCTCAAAATGAGAATATTATTATTTATCACAATAACTTTTGGGACAGTTTATTGTCTAGTAAACTTATCGTGACAGACCTACACCCACAAACACAAATTGTATCAAAGATAGTGATTATTTTTGACGTCTCTGCCTCTCACCTGGCCTGGAAGATGACAGACGCCACCATGCACACAAACATGACGCTGAAGATGGGGTAGTCGAGCTGCATGACGCCCTCCAGAGTCAGGAGCAGCATGCCAGAAACCGCCTTTACTGTGATGACTGTGACCGAGCCTGTTCCAGAAGATTAAAAAAATAAAAAAAATAAAAAAATCAACATCTGCAGTGGCAAGATTTTAAAGACAGGAGGAAACTCACCCAGTAGAGCCACCAGCAGCAGGATAACAACCAGGTAGTTAGCATTGCGCTGTTTGTAGAAGTACAACAACAAACAGAATGCGATAATCTCCAGAAGCTGTCAGGATGATAATAACATTAAATTAATACAGAAATACACCAAAAATCAACGGTGCCAGACTGAAAGAACCCAAGATAAAAACTGCATCTGTTTGCAGAATATTAGCTAATTATTTACAGGAAATATCTCACCATATACAGAAGAACAGGCCACCCAACAAGGTGCTTCACAATGTTCTCTGCTTGGAGTTTCTCATGAGAGTTTGGACCAAATGACACAAACAGATACGTTCCTCCTATAATGAAGATGTAGCCCAGGAAGGCCAGCCCATGGCTCTCTGAAAATGCAAAAAACAGAAAAGATTTGAAACAATCTGTCAAGTCAGACTGGAGAGGAATTAAAGGTTTAAACTGCTGCAGTATTTGCACTTAGGGGTGCAAACACTTATAGGTTATTACTTATTGTGAAAGGTTTCTTAGTATAAGACCTGTGATTTATCATTAACATGATAAATTTCAGTTATTGGTTGTAAATAATAAAAATTTCAGTATGATCAGAAACATTTTTGCTATTTTTGCCAATGTTAATTCCACGGGAGCATCAATAAATATCAGTAAATTTGAAAACAGTGCTGTTAGTTTTTAAGGTTTAGTGATATAAATCACACTTTTAAAGTAGGTGTCATCCTGAAAAAGCCTATTTCAGAAAATAATGATTTTCATGGATAATATTTGCATATGTGGTGGTATGAATGCAGGCACAGCCATAGAGTTACCTAAAAAAGAAATATTTTTTTTAAACGCAAAAAATAGGTTTTTTTCTTTATTATTATCACAATGGTACCACAGAATATCAGAATAAAATTCTAAGTCCTTATCGCCCACCCCTATTTGTACTCCTACCAATTTCTGGTTTTGCTTTTTGATGCATTTATTAGTTTTATTAGTAAAAAAATAAAAAAACTATATCAGCAAATATAACACGAGAAAATACAAAAAACAGATTTTTTAAAATTAATTTCCTTATTAAGGGAATAAAAGCTCTGCAAAACAACCTGAGCCCATCTGAAAAAGTAAGACTTCCTTCTTGCTGGTCTTTGGTCGCACAATCAGTGAAAAACAACAACTGAGTCTAACATATTTATCTGCATTTTAAAGTTGACACATTGAACACAAATCAAAAGTCGACTTATGATGGATAACTGGAGAGTTTTTTTCTGAATTTCAAAATTGTAAAAATATGAGCACCAATATAGTAATCCAACAAATATTGGACTTTAGGATTGTCTAAAAGGTCAGTTGAGGATGTTTCCAAAGCAATTTAATAAACTGTTAAGTGTGTGTGAAAGGTCAGATTTGAGTTGCTCACATTCACTGAAACTCCACTAATAAAATTTGCACATAACAAAAAAATACCTTGGCAAAAGAGTAGAAGAGAGGGCAATTAGATTTGCATGAAAAAGCAGCAGATCTGAAATATTTGCATGAGTTATTTGTGCAGCTGTATAACCTTTGTTCCACCACTTACTTGCAAAGTCCTTTGCTTTAGATTTTTCACGCAGGAATAAAAAACCCAAAATTGAGCTTGCTGCAAAACATTAACAAAAAAAAACAAAACGTTTTTGGTACAATTTAAGGTATAAATCTGGATGTTTTTACAATTTATCGAAGGTTTAGAGAGTGATACTAACTCAGGACAGACACAGCGTTCAGGGGCGCGACAACAGCAATTGGGGCAAAGGCGTAGGACACAAAGTTGGCCCCCTCCCCGATGCAGATGAACACGAAACCACACCACCAGGTCTTGGTGTTGTAGAAGGTGCGTTGCTCCTTTGTTTCTGCTAGTTTCACGTGGCTGTACTTCTGCAAGGAAATGCAAAACAGGGAATGAATTTAAAGCAACACAAACACCTGCCAGGAAACTCGCAGAAAGAGCTTAAAGCAGATTGTGAAACAGTTTCACCAAAGAAAAGAAATGCAGATGGGATGGTCAGCAACACAATGAGAGTGACGCATGACGATCACGTGACTGTCTGTCGGATAAATATTCAGCAAACACAGCCTTTCCCTGAGGGTTACGCAGTCAAACATGCACCAGAAACAGAAGAGGGCATGGCACGGTGGAATTTAAAAGCTTCTGTCTGGATTATAATTATGAAACAGCTGGTTTATAACGCTTTTAGTGGTGAAGTTTAAGCAGAAACTACCTGAATACTGAGAGAGATGCTGACAATCACACTTCCAAAGATGGCTAATAATGTCCCGATGAGATTATCCTGAAAAACAAAGTGATCAGTTCAGTTAGGAGACAGAAATGTCCACATAATAACAACAAAACAACAGAAAGTCGCTTCTGTTTATTGTTTCCATCGTTTTATCTTGAGTAACCAGGTCGTAACATTGTAGCAGTTAGCAAAACCGAGTTTCTTTTTAGCACCACTAATAGATAACAAAGCAACTCTTTAGTAACAAATGATGGTTACAATGGAAGCTGTCTCACCGTGTAGGAGTCTCCTTGTTCTGTTTGAACGTCCATATCTTTAACTTTCAGAGGCGTTTTTTCATAACACGTACAATAAACATTCAGTCAGTTAAACATTCCCGCTGTTTCCTGTTTGATATAAATATATATTGCTCATTTTTGGATTTTCTGTTTTGATAATAAAGGAGACACCATCTTCGGGGCGAGAAGCATCTCACTTCCGGGGACTAAATTCACCTGCTTTGGGCGACGAACTGAAGCACGCAGAGGATTCGCACCATTCACCAGCCAGAGAGGCAGCCGGCGCACCGGGCGGCGAGGTCAGGTACCCTGAGCTACAACTTTTATTATTATTATTATTATTATTATTATTATTATTATTATTATTATTATTATTATTATACATCGTAATTAAATTTTGAGGTTTGCAGTATTTTAAATAAAATTTACTTTAGGTATATTTTAAACACAATGTGTTTTCTGTGTTTCATTAATAGTCTTTTTTCCTTAGATATCATTAAATTCAGGTCTTAAATTAAAATATTACACATTAAGTATTATTGACTTCTAAAAATACATTTAAAAATTTGTTCAAGCTCATAAAAATCGGTTTCCAAGTGTGAATCTATGTCTTTCAATCCTTCAATTGTACCCTAGAGCAGCAGACACACTTTCACAATGGGACTTAACTTAAACAAAGCCCTTTTGTTGGCCTCAGACCTATTTTGGAAAAAAGTTGTTGCTCTTTATTATCTATTTACCTACTATAAAACTTTGACTTAAAATAAACCACGCTGCTACTGATGTGATGAACTCAGAGAAATCTGGGTCCTGTGGAAAACCCCGCCCACAGCTTCTCGTCATCACTTCTGTGCGAGTGATCCACCGGCGTACTGTAAGGAATTGCGCATAGTTACGCCACAAAACACGTCACCATTCACGCTCAGTAATATATTTTTTCTTAATTAAAACAACAACAACAACAACAGCAATAAATAAGTTGTACCATACTGTTATTTTACCTGTTGGGTAAATTATTATTCATAATCATTACTTTTACGATAGGATCTTTCTTTGTCGTTAGTGCCACAAACAGCCACTAGGTTGTACTATTAAGCTAAAATTAGCCAAAATGTTTTGTTCCTGATTTTGAATGCTTTAACTATTAGCAGCATGGCAGCAGATCTTTGGATAAGTGCAGATTTTAGGGTAGTTCCTGCTTTTCTTCCGGTACCTGAAGGGGAAGGTCAAACCCTCCTGTGACCTTGAAATGGAAAAGGGCATTTATTGACGGCAGTAGTTAGGACATAATTAGGGTCACCAGGTGTGTGTTTCTCTGTTTGCCCTCTTTTACTTTTTTATGTCTTCCAACAAATTGAGAATATTTTCCTCATGTTTGAGGAAGAGATATTTGTTTTCATGGACTGAGGAAGTTAGAAGATTTCCATAAAATTTAGTTTTTGTCAGACAGGGCCTTGTGTTTACTGGTAGTGCTGGAAGCAAATCAGCTTGAATGATTAGTTGCAAACATTTCTGTGGAAACAAAGATAACTTACAACTTACTGTCCAGGCTATAGATAAAAAACAAAACAAAACAAAACAAAAAAACCCCACAGAGAAGACGAAAAATACAAATATGATAATTTACACAATGGGAACTAGACTGATTAAATACCTAGCACCTAACCTAAGAAGTGATATGTTATCTTTCTTTCCCAGATTAATAGCTGCTACTTTTCGGACTAAAAGCCGCTACTTTTTTCCTACAATTTGAACCATGTATGGATTATAGCCCGGTGCGGCTTTTCTGTGGATTTTTCTTCAACCACCAGGGGGCTCTTTAGCAGGAAGTGAATCATTGGAAGTCAAAATTGGAAATCAAAGACAGCACACATTAGGTGGCGGTAATGCACACCTTTAAATTGCTTGCCAACCGCCATTAAACCAGAAGAAGAAGAAGAAGAAGAAGACGCAAATTTTCATTTAGAACAAGTACATGCTACCAGCAGGCACGACGGAGAAATTTCTTCAAACTCATACCCCCTCATCATGGAAACCACACGAAGAAGTTCATGTGATGCAGCTTTGAGGGCTACCGATCTGGCAGGAGGGAAATAGAGCCGCTGCAGTAAACAATCCATGGTTCGGCGACGCAGGGCTGCGTCCTTGTGAAAAACCGAGGGCAGAGGAGATATCAGCAGCTTATATATTACGTTTTCAGTTTTTTTTTAAACTCTGTAGATGCGGCTTATAGTGAGGTGCGAAATGAATTTGAGCATACTCGGACTAGTTTGTAAGACTGCACTGGATAACTGTTCATTTAGCTCAGTGAATCAAAATGTCAATTTTCTCAGTAATTTGAAGACTAAAACTCAGAGTGTGCTCAGAGGGATATATTTGAAATGTTTCTGATTATATTAATGATTCTGACTTGCAGTTAATGAATACCACAAATTCTGTATCTCAGGAAACTGGAATATTACATAAGACACAAAAATTATAATAATAGAGAAATGAGATCTTATGTTCTTGCCTGCAAAGTTCAGGGGAAAACTCCTGACTTAACTATTGTTGACATTCTAATTGCTACAGAAGCCGAGTGCTGAATCTAAACATGTTGAGTGAAAGGAAAATAACTGCAGCAACATTATTAGAGTTCCTTCAGGCTCTAATATAAACCTTCCACAGATTTCAGGAGCCATGCTTTCTGCTCTGAACATTTCAGAGCACTTCCTGCTAATTTTACTGTGTGACTTTTGAACATACCCTCATTTCTGTTTTCCGAAGTCTTTTTCTTTTTGTAATTATTTGAGAAACTGAATCCTGGGTGCCATCTTTAAGTGATCAAACTCACGCTCACCTCTGTCACGCATCACTTGCACAAATGTCTTATTTTTTCAAACTTAACAATGACTCAGTAATCCTGACTAATTCAGATGGCATGTGTTCTCTGTGTTTGAGTGAAGGAAGGACAGCACGCTACGTCAGCAGCCATGATTCTAGAACAGGAGCCTTGGAAAAAAACAAAGGTAGGTCAACAGAGGGCGTAGCTACTGTTCTAACACGGATGACTTTTATCTTTTTTCTTTGTATCACAAAAGCAGATGCATATGTGATGAATCAATGAGTCACTGTTTCCATTAATGACAGAAATTATGATCAATACATGAAAAAAAGATGGTTGAATCTTATCTGGAACATTATGTGTAATTAAAACTGTATAAATTATTATGCGTTATTAAAACCCATTGAAACTGTTTTAATGGGTTGAAAGGTCTCTTTCCATCACCCTAATCTTTAGCTCCTTTTGCAGCTTCTCTGTGTGAGTGAATTCAGCACTCGGAAAGTCAGAAAAGTTAAATTTTAACCTTTTAAACTTAAATCTGCTGGTGTTATGAAGTTTTTGGGTTTGCACATTTTTGACTATCGATGTTACCAATTTTCAGCTTCACCCAACAAGAAGAAAATAAATTTGTATATCAGACTGGTAAAGAATGAGACTTGTTAATGAAAACCAGGATTTTAGGGAGTAGAAAATTGAAAATGTGTAGCTAATAATGGAATTTATGAAAACAAATATAGTTGACTCTGTGTCTGGAATGTTGTTTATTATTAATTTTCCAAACAAAAACTGTTTGACCGTTTTTCCACTCATGTAGGAAATTTGTAAGCTTGATCTTAACATTAACTCTGTGGGAATGAGTCATTATTGGATGATTAAAACTTTAGTAACTTATTAAAATCTGATCAGAAATGATCAAAGTTTGGTTTTAAATCTAACCCCCAGCTGCCAGTGGGGGGAGTGAAGAGCTGCTGTTGGGCAGCACGCTAACCTTGACATGAAGATGAATAATCCACGCTTATCAAGGTGACTTTCCATCACAGTTTGATGGTTGACTGACACGTCAGCTCAAATGTTTGAGCATGACTCTCGCATCGTAAATGCTTTTTATCACTGAAGCAATACGAGACACTGAGTAAACATTCTTCTTCTGTTCTGTTGTTGTTTGTGACAGTAAAGGTGCAAGAACTTGCTGCACACTGATCAGCTCCACTGCTAGAGTGTGTTTCATTGCATGAAAAGGTGCATTTAATTGGTTGCTGCTTCCTGTTTGCGAAACCTTATAAAATCATCATGACTTGCTGACAGCATTTATCTTTCATCTTTGTTGTGGATTGTTTTTACGTCTCGCTTGAGCTCTCAAAAGTTTTTTTTTTTTTTTTGAATAACCCTTCACTAAGTTTAGCAATATAACATCTTGTTTTCCCGAAACTGCAAAGTCTTTCCTTCTCTCCAGACTCGTCACACTTTAACGCTCCTGAATTAGCTGCAGGAATGAGATGTGGCTTTACAGGCTGGGTGTGTTAAACACACACACACACACACACACACACTGATTAGAGCTTGGAGACTGAAACAGGTGAAAAGCACAGGTGTTTCTTCCTCTAGGTGGGAACAGGTACACACACCTGCAGGTGGGACAAATTCTTCCACTGTCCTGCTTTTTGGGATGCACAAATCAACTTAAGGCTATTGATTTATTAACACATATGGAGGAAAACTGCAGCATTAACATGTAAAACTCATCAATGATAACAGAAATATTTAACACTCTTATTCTGTTGTCGGCACTTTTATTACAAGTTTTCAAGAAGGTTCCTGCTGTAAAAAGTCCCACAATTATGATCTTTGTGATCCCAACACTTAAGATATAAATTACTGTGTTTGGTTTAAAAAAAAATGTATATAAAGCTGTGTGAGATGAAAACCCTGTGGGTTAGAATTCCTTTCCCGTAAACGTTTGTGCCTTTGTTAGGAGAAAAGGCATTCAGCTCAGCGGAATGACCAGTTTACTGCCACAGGCCTGAATGACTGACTGGTTTTCTTCTGCACACATCTGTGTGCTTTTGTCTTTCAAGCTTATTCCATGAGGCGTTTTTTTAAAGGTACATTAGATCGTCAATGTTGTTTTAACAGTAAAAACAGTCATTTAGACTTATTCTTCTTGCCGTTTTCAAATCTTTTCAATTCCTGTTGGCAGTTTGTTCAAAAACAAAGAAAACTGAGTGAGGTACCGAACGGATAAAGGTTATGAAATTTAGAAAACATGCACATTTTGTGGTCCATTAAAATGTTTGTATCTATTTTAATTAAAATAGAGCAAGCTCTGTCCGCTTTGCATTTGTTTGTGCAATAACTTGCATCTAAAATGCATTTATTAATACACATGCAGTATATTTTTTGTC